GCATTAGTACTTTTAAAAAATTCAAGGAAGAATTATTTCGGAAATATCCTCCGTCCTACTTTAAAAGACCTATCGTCGTTTCAAGCAAAGGTGAAAAAATTTTTATTCAGTTGTTTACTTTTTCTGATAATTGTCACAATACATCCGACAAAATTTAGATTTTAATAGGGAAGATTAACTACATGAACCTTTTCATTAATGTCTAAATAATTTTAACTATCACTTGTTGTTATTGTCATGCTATTTATTTTTTTTCGTTACTAATTGTTACAGCAATCCTCGTTGTATGTAATTTTATATATTTTATTTTCTTCTTCTTCTTTTTCTCGTCCTCTTCCGTAGCCAATGTGTACACACGAGTTTAGGTCTACCGTATATATAAAAAATTAAAATATTTCTAACGGATAAGTTTGCAATAAATTCAGATGAATCATTGTTACATAATTAATCATCATTAATCAATTACATGAAGAGAACAACAATAGAATTTACTTTGTAGACAAACAAGTGGGTACGTGAGTGAATGTATCATTGTTATACATAATCTCAACATTGTTATCAAGTTGCATTTTTGACGTTAAACTATGTTTAAGTATACATGCTACTTTTAAAATAAAAACTCTTTATTCATTCTATTAGAAGAAAACTATTCTCGGTGATTTTGTTTTTGAACTATTTAACATAAGCACAATGAGGAAATAATGATATATTTGTTTTTAGTTTAGAAGAACATACCATTTAAATAACTGTAAAAAAAAATTATGAATTTCTACGTTTCTTCATACTAATCTATGTAAGAATTTATCGCCCTATTTTCTGCTTTTTCTGCAAGAAAAGAATATTTTCTTGCTCTAAAACGCTTTTATGTTGAACACGACTGATGAGAGTGCGTCATGTCACATTGAATAGAATTGTTTTAATAGATTTATGTGTATAAAAACAGGATGACATGCAGAATGTAGCAGTAATTCCGTACGCGAATTAAACGCTTCAAGCGTTACATTCAGCCACTGGGTATGCACGTATCATCCTAGACGAAAATTTTTTAATAAATCTGACAAGAATCTGATAAGATTCTTATCGGTTTCTTAAATAAGACTCCGCAGGAGAGTCCCAAGAATTCCATAAGGAAGTATAAGAGCCTTATAAGAAAGTTGTAAGAGTTTCATAAGAAAGTCTTATGCAATTCTTATCTGTTTTATACGAATTTCTTGTGGGAAGCTTATTGGATTCCTGTTAGATTCTGATAAGTATTTTGTACTATACAGTATTTTATTTAGTCAAAATATAGATAGATTATTTATTTCAACACAGATGTTAGAATAAGTCAGAATAACAGAGAACAAGTAAGAAGTTATTGATTACATTAAAGAACCGCCACCAAAAAGTAGCGCAGACATTTTCATGTATTTTGAGATCATTCCTTGTTTTTTTAAAAACTTTTTAAGCAGGAATTTCATAAGAAACACATAAGAATTACATAAGAGTTCTAACAACTTTCTTATAAGGCTCTTATACTTTCCTTATGGGATTCATGGGACTCCCTTGAGAAATCTTATTTAAGAAACCGGTAAGAATCTGATAAGACTTTTGTACGGATCTTATTTGATACTTATCGCTTTCCAGTAAGATTCTTGACTGATCCTTAAATAAGAATCGTCGGCTAGGGCACGCGTAAACATTGACGATACAACGCGTTTACCAACATCCAAATTAAAGAATTAGACAGTAGACAACTGTATGGTTACAGCAACTGCATTTATTGAAAAATATACTAGATCTCAAGGTTCAATAGTGAAGGGGGTTATTAAATCTAAAGATAAATATTTGGTCAGTAAGAAAAGAACTGTTTATCCAAACTTCAACATACAGATAGTACATACTTCATTGTATACCATTCTCAATATAACACAGCGAAATAAACTACAATAGATCTTTAAAAAAAATAAAATTAGTTTTAATTCGTGTCAACGGTAAACTAAACGTATATGTATAATTGAGATTGTAAAATTTAGTTTGTTTTTCTCCTACATGTAATTAACGCGCCTTAAAAGGACCCTTATTCCAAATATTCCATATAAAAAAAGAACAAAAATATCTTCTCTACATTTTATACATATCATACTGATGTATAAAGAAATTATTAAAAGTTGTTTTCCCCTATTCTGTCTACCTTTCGATCTCGCGATTCTTTTTTTCCATTCTTCTACCGTTCCATCTATTTGACTTAAAAATCTTTAAAAAAAATTTTTTTTCTAGTGTAGACACACAGAAAAAAATAAATATCAACTATAGCATAGAATTAAACTATGAAGAAAAATGATATTTCACAATGACACGGAGAGTTTAGTAAAACATTCAACGAGATCATAAATTCATTTTACTTTTTTAAAAGAGTTTGAGCATAATTTTTTTTCTTCTTGAATTCGACTAAAATATCGCAGGCAGCATATTTTTGATTGTTCTATACAAGTAAAATGAAAAAACGTGTAAAGAAATTTTTTTTTTCTATAACATAGTTGAATAAAAGAAATGGTAAACTTTTTTGATAAGAATTACATAGTAAGAGCTACAGCCACACAAAGTTTGAAGTTCAGAAGCCGTCATGACTCCCAAAATCTAGGGCGTCAATTATTTGTGGACTACTACAGTGAACAATACTATATATAATATAACCTTACGTCAAGACACTAAACGTCAAAATAAATGTGTTGTCGAAAAAGCATAGTATAAAGAACCTTTCAGCTAACATAGCTCTAATATATTCACCAGGTAATAAAAGGTTCAGATAAAATGCTGACTCTATCGACTACATGAAGAACGTCTTAGGAAATTTCAGTCATCTTCTCACTACACAGAAAATGAGTGGTTTTCACATTACTGCAGCGCTCTGTAAATTTGATCAAAAGAAATGGTAAAGTTTTTTCGTATTATATTGATAATAATACAATATTGGTAAAAAAGATGGCTGGTTTTTTACTCTATACTCTGTCACCAGTAAACTTTCAATTTTTTCGATACAGACAAGTTAATTGAATTATATAGATAAATATATATAGAAAAACAAGATTCAAATGCTAGACTCTATGGAAAACCAAAAAAGGTAGACAAATACGTTAGCAACGTGTACTAGTCGAATGGTTCTTCATTTAGATGTCGTATTACTTAAAATATCTTTTTACAGCAGAACATGCTGATAAAAATAGAGAAATTTATGAGCAATAGAACCTTAACAATGTTTCTTAGATTATATGATCTACCGATTTCTCAAAGTTAATGTAAACACAGTTTATTTAACGTGGGGAGCAATCGAATCATTGTAGTTACGATAACCAAACGTTCACAACCTAAGTTTTATAAAAAAAAAGACAACAAAAGACAGAATGTGTAGGATAAGTAAAACTGTATGAATAAAACACATTTATAAGAATCTTTTTGTTTCATTGACATAAGGTTTGACAGCTTTATATTATAGATTTTTGCTCATGACGAGTTAATGAAGGACTGGATAGCTTCAATAGTTCAGAAGGCATGGGACTTGATCCTAATATAGATTGCAGATCAAACAAGAGTATTTGTCTGGGTACCTGGTAGTATCTGCAGTCAAGAAGAAAACGTTTGGTAGACTCTCTCGCTTCTCAGACACACAAGTTGCTAGAAACAAGGTTTCTTTTGAACCATTAAGGGCGTGACGAACTGAACAAAAATTTTTTCACCTTTGCTTGAAACGACGATAGGTCTTTTAAAGTAGGACGGAGGATATTTCCGAAATAATTCTTCCTTGAATTTTTTAAAAGTACTAATGCACTTCAAATCATTCATGTTCTTATTATTACATTCTTCAATACAAGCTGTACTGTTGCAAGGTTAGCAATACTAGGCGTTAACATTAACGGACCATCACTTCTCAGTCCTAATTTTTTTCTATGATAAAATTTTTTAACTTGCCATTAATACAAAGTTTCCAAATCTTATAGAACTGCGATGGATATAAAAAAGATCATTGACGCTGTTACATCCCAAGTGTGTTAAGATGTTCTCTCCCTTAGTTCCGTTGATTGTACCAACAACAATACATGCTGATACGTATTGAAACGATATTATTTTCTGAATATTATTATGTGTTGTATTCGAATAAATAACATCAGTATAAGAGATTATCTGTAAGATCAAGGTTTTGTGGACTATATTTAGTATATGGAGAGAGAAGGCATTTTTCATGTACTTAAGCAAGGCTCTTATTACAGCGACTTAGGGTGTAATTCCATGATAAATTATATGATAGAACGATCCCTAAATGCTTACGTTGTAGAACTTCGTCCAGCTCAACTGCGTTTACTTTTATTGTATGATAATAATTAGTGTTATTTGTTGAAAATGTCATTGTTTTACATTTGTCAATATTTAGTCTCATTTTACAAACAATGCACTACTTGGAGATCATTACAAGATCTCTAGTGAGTTGCCCACTCACTAGTATCATATTTTCATCTGTAATAAAGAGTAAAGCATCATCAGCTAAAGAGAGCATAATTCAGACTGAATAGCGATCTTTCTGTCTAAGCATTCAAAGTCATCAAGGTAAATTCAAAAAACGAGCTGTCCCAGAATACTACCTTGGGGCACTCCACAATGGATTTACTTTGCATCAGACGCTGTTTCCTCGATAACTTCTCAAAGTTCTTTATTGCGTATATCGTTAAATATATTAAACACAAATAAAAAATTAAATCAAGAAAAAAAATCATTCTATCTTGTGTGTAGCAAATGCTATTACTTCTCGTCTTTCATCAGCATACTGTATTCGTGTTAGTAAATCTGCATCACGACTATATTGTTTTAAATGGCTTTTTAATTTTTCTTTATCAAGTGTATAAGTGAGAACCGGTATGGATTCTAGCTTACATGAATCCAATAACTTGAGTACATCAACGGCATTTTTATTATTTTCACTATGATAACATCCGCGACAAATGATTTTGAATGAGAACATTCGACGTATATTATCAGCATTTTGTTTAATATAATCTTCAGCCGAGTCGAATCGTGCACAAAATTTCAATTCAATACCCATTTGTCTCAGTTTATCAGCTGTTTCAATATCATTATCTTCTGTATCAATCCATAAAACACATGTTGATTGTCGTTCTGATCGTGGTGATTGTGGTGGTTGAGCTATGGATTTAGTAGCAAATCCATCAGCCCATTGTGTTCCAGAGTCAATTCCAATAAACTCATATACATCATACATATCATCTGTCGACATGACATTTGGAAATTGTAAAGCACCATTTGTTTCTTCACGTCGATTTGTATAAATGACAATCGGTGTATGAGCAATGGAACTACGAACGGTTCGAATAACGTCAACAGCCGTTTTATCTTCTGTAATATACCATGGAGTTATCACTTTGAACAATACACCTGATTTAGTAATTACCGACTTGTGTTGCTCAAGCCAACTTTTTACATTTTCAATACTATCAACATAATAAATTTCATATCGACGTACTACTCGTAATGGAGTGTTTGGTTTTTCTATTGACTCAATTAATGTATTATTCAATACATCATTCGATGATTTTAACCAGAGAATAACATTACGTTCTTCAGCTAAATTTACTAGTGTTGTTGTAACGTGTTTTTGTTCTGTAGATTTTGGTAAGGTAGGAGTAGGTACAGGCAGATACTTGCTGTGATCTAGCGGATATGTTTTTTCAACCAAAACTTCGCTACCTCGTCCCATTTCGCGAGTTGGCCAGGGTAAAGCAAGATTTAATTGTGCAACAATGGTATGAATGACACGCGACACAGCACTATCGAGTTCAGCATCAATAATGGGATGATTCTTATGTGGCCATTCATCTCTTTGCTGCAGACGATTTCGTGTTGCCTGCAATTTTGTTTTTAAACCAGTGTTATATGTTTTGAAGCATTTAGATAGGTGAGCTGTACTGTACGCCTCATCAATGGCACTATCAATTGGATTTAATGTAACTCGCAATGAACGACCCTGTTGTTCTCTTGCTCTCAATTTCCCCATAAATCCTTCAAATTCAACAAAATCATTGATGCTTAACGAACGTTCTTGAACTGAACGTTCAGTTTCGTTAGTTATAACTTCAAAAATATTTCGTGCTAAAGCCATTGCTTCTTTCATGCCTGAATTCATTCCACGGCCTATTCAAAATATAAAAAAATCATAAAAAAATGATAATTTTAAAGAGAAAAGAGGAGACTACCCGGCCAAAAGTGAACATTCATAGCAGCATCTCCAATTAGGAACATGAGTGATGTTTTAAACGTTTTTTTTCCTGCTTCAATTTGATAGCTTAATTCACGCGAAAAGTCCATTGCATGTCGAACATTAATTTGAATCGGTACAATGAGATTAACATATTTTGATGGTATCTTGAAAAATTGTAAACCTTGACGAATTATAGTACAGACAGGACTGTGTGGAAAATGAATATTGTTATCTAAATCGATATTCGTTGTTGTAGCTTTTATGTCGCGCAAATGTTCAGTTAATTCATCGTATTCATCTTTGATTAAACGAATATTTAAATACCCACGACGACTTGTTGATGAATTAACAAGATAACGTGTTTGAGAAACGGTCAGTATACAATTTAGCGCTTGATGCAACGGCTCATCTGTGGCTGCCACATTCTCAGGAATATTATAAGCCACTCCACAAGCGTATTCCATACCTTGTGAAACCATTTGAATATTACAATATCGACTAACTAAAGAGTTCGCTCCATCGGCGCCCACTACAATATCAAACTGTCCTTTAACAAGATATACGCTTTGTTCATGTAAATTTTCTGGTATTAGATCAACCCATCCAGAATCGGCAAATGGTTGAATAAGATCTAATAGACGATCCTCAACTTCTTCAATAGGAATATTCCTAGACGTCGGCCAAACACGCTCATTGATTTCTTTAAATAAACCCTTTTGTATGTAATCAGGCATTTGTGAAATGACGTGATCTTGAAGTGTGACTACTTGACTTCGGCGAAAATTTCCTTGATCTGCACCTTTCCATGATATTTTCCCACTTTGATTAACATACCATCGACCTTCATAGATCGTAATTTTAGCTTTATTGCCAACTAGCATTGTGAGATTGAGAGCAAATGTTAGGCCAACTTAAACAAAACAGAGCACAATGAACTTCAATCTTATTCTCAAATAGGTAAAGTAGAAGACAAGCTTACCTGGACCACCACCAGCAATAATGACCTTGAGCGGTGGCAGATCAGTATTAGTTCTGCTCATTGTATCAATGACGATTCAACTGAATAATTAATAATTAAAGATCACAATATGTCCTAGCAGATTACGTCAGCGTAAAGACTCCGTTTCCTATGCACGTGGATAACTAAATTTGCTGTTATGAAAGAAAACGTAATCGTAATCAAGAATGAATAAAAAAGGTTTTTTCCTTTCAACTCAATATTTTTTGCACGTCACTAAGAAAAAAAAGTCTCGTGTCAGACAGAAACGACAAAAGCACACAAACAGGTATGGCCTGGCTACACTATGCGAGTTCAGTTTGAGTTAAATCAATCTGATTGGAGTTTCTAAGCAGTAACACCAATTAGATTTCTGAACTCAGAGGTTAACTCGAGTAATATAGACACGGTCTATCTATTCATTTCAAAATAGATTGCATTCCATTGTGTTTTTATCACTGCAAGTGTTGTAGCTTATCAATACCTTTTAGGCAAAATCTTCCTCCACTAACAAAGTTTTGGATCTCGGATGGCGAAATGTGGGTTCGAACCATCAGATTGCGCTCTGCAAAACTACATAAGTCCCACGTCTTCATCTGTCATGATTTAGGCGATACAGGTGTTCCAGAGGACCGACCTATTTCAGTCCGGTTAACTCCAACAACCATCTACATATATTTATATAAGCAGTTTTATTAAAAACCCTTAAACGTTATTACACCCAAAGCGACAAAAGTCATTACAGAGGTCACCAAACGTTTTCTTTGTTACACACCAGAGCACAACCAAAAAAAAAGAAAAAAGAGAGTAGCGAGTTAAAAAAATAAAAAGAAACAAACAGTTTTTAAAGATGTTGACACAGAGTAGCTGTTAAAGTAATGACCAAAGGAACAGCAGCAACGATGAGAGGGTGACTAATATGTGTGTGGCACTGAGGGAGGACGAAGTGGACAACATGAAAGCAAGCTCGGCAGGTAGCAAACACTAACTGTTAGAGTAGAAAGCAGTCTTTACCAGCCACACAATCAAAAACCCTTTGAACATTTAATGTATTCAACAACAGCACTATAAACAAATCGTATGTCGTCAGTGCGAAGTGCACATCGCAGGAGAAGGAGATTTCCCTATTTTTCATTCTTTCTGGCACCGCTGATGCGCATCGGTGCCCAGAAAAAAAATTATTAGGCACCGGTGCGCACCCGTGCACAACCAGTGCCGATAAAATAGTTTTTTGTTAAACTATTGATAAAATAGTTGTTCGTTAAGTATGATACACTTACGTTGTTTCGTTATGGATGATTCCCTTACGTTAAGAATTTCGCGTAATAAACGTAACTCCTTCGTTTCGTACGGTAAGAAAAAACATTTCCTTACCGTCCTACGTTATCTTTTCTCTTTCCTTTACTTCTACCGTCATCCGTGATCTATAT